AAAATTTGCACTTGCCTAAGTTTATCCTGTATAATCACCAGCAATCTAATCTCTTTACGTCCCCTGAGAGGAGACATCTGAGTGGTTTGCTAGATTTACAGTACCCCCTCAGAGAGAGCACCCAAGTGCAAAGGGTTAAGGACACTTGTGGGCTCATCAGAATAATCTAGGGCACTCTTCCTGGTCACATTCATCAGACTAGCCACCCTAATTTCCCATGGCCTTGTAATCTAATGCATTCACAGTTCCAGAAATTAGGATGTGAGCACCATGAGGTTGTGCATATAATTATTTTGCCTGCCATAGGCTGATTGCTGCTGGGATGCCTATGATTATAGAGCCATTGGTGTAGTCATGTTCTTGGCTTAGGAATCAGTGTGGCAGCTGTAGATACTGAGGTGGCAGCTCAGCTGGAAAACTGACCAAATGGCCAATCTCAGAAGGTGTGAACGATGAGTTTTAGTCCCATGTTTGCATAACCTCAAAATCGTAATCACTACCAAAAAGCCTTATCTTGCCAACCATAAGCCATCAATAATGATGAGTGTCCTTCCTCAGTATCAAGCAATTGTTTCTGTCGTCTGCGTGTGTATGTGATAATCTTTGTCTTTATGGAGTCAGTGAAATCTGGAGTAAGGGTGGTTTTCTCCATTTTGTGGTTTTTCAAGTTTGAGGTATTTAGAATTAAGTTTGTTAGAATATTATTTAATAACTTGCTCGTATTTTTTGCCTGAAAAAATTTTTTTTTTAAGTTGTGGGATACAAGTCAGGATTGGGTACATAAATGGTTTAGGTACAAGTGAAGTTTTGGACCTCCCATTGGACCTCACTTCGTCTGATAAAATTGCTTTGATTTCTATCTTGTATTTTCAGCACAGATATGTTCGAAACCTAATGATACAGGCATACTACGACAGAATCATTGCTGGATTAGGGTCATAAAGTTGTCTGCATCTATTCAGTGTTTTAAAAACCTTCATGAAAATTAATCATCTTAGAAGAGGGCTGTGGGGAACGTGACCTCATTTGTAATGTGAGTTCAGGGAGTTGACTCTAACTTTGTCTATATGGCATTTAGCACCCTAATAGAAGTTGAAATTCTGAGAAATAGAACTACTTGTTAATTAATTTCTGGGTTTATTTGTATAACTGTTGTCTTTATAGACAAGTGTACATTTGGTAAATGCAGTATTTTCTCTTGATCTTTGTGACATAAGTTTTAAAAAGTTGCATCTGTTTATAGTATTCATTCTCATTTTGTAGAGGCCAGTGGGTAGCATTTCCCTGTCTGCATTCACATCTTTTTTTCAGGATTGAAAATAATGTGGAAGGGAGCTGTTGCTTGTCTCTTCCATGTTGCTTTTTGTGTCTGGTCTCACATCCATAGTGTCATGGCAGTTGCCATGTTGAATTAGTGAATGCGTGGACATTAGTGCTACATGTTAGCCTACCATTGCTGAGGTTCAGGGCTTAGAGCACTCGGTGAGTAGTGCGGATGTTTTTATGATTCCTTTAACCCTATCCATCTACACTAAAATAAAAATAAAAAAACAGCAGAAATGCTTACTTTTTATTGAGAAAAAATGCGTGATATTAAAAGTACATTTAAGTAAATAGTTTTTTTCCCTCTAGCTGACTCTGAAACTTGATGAACAGCAAAGTAAGTCAAAGAAAACTGGTTCAGAAGCGATGGACTAGGTCATGACAGTCGAGTGTGCTGGGGTTGACTTGAGTTGGCTTGGAGAAGGCAATGCTGGTAATACGAGCATGGGGTTTCGGGGAAAAGAGCCTGATGCTGAAGTCCTACTGGCATCCACAGACCCTGTCTTATGAATCTTCAGACTCCCAGCCCCTGTCTGAGAAATTCAGATTAAAGACAGCACTCCTGCAGTGGAAAAATGTAAAAAAGGCAAGCTGTACAGGCTGATTTTAAAGATGTAACTTGCACTGCCATTAATCAGCTCATAGAAGTATGCAGTACGTGTCATAATAATGTGTGTTTTGAGGATCTCAAGAGCATTAAGAAAAAGCTGAGTATTGCTTTGAACATGGACAATGATATAGGAACAACAAAAAGATCTTGCAGGGTGCTTCTTTGAATTTTTTTTTTTTTTTTTTTTTGATTTGGAGTCTCACTCCATTGTCCAGGCTGGAATGCAGTGGCCCGCTCATGGCTGCTGCAACCTTGACTGGCTGGGCTCAGGCAATCCTTCTGCCTCAGCTTTTCAAGTAGCTGGAACTACAGGTGCACGCTACCAGGCCCAATTTTTTTATTTATTGTAGAGATGAGGTCTCACCAAGTGCCCAGGCTGTTCTCGAACCCGTGGGCTCAGGCAATCCCCTCATCTCCGTCTCCCAAAGTGCTGGGATTACAGGCTTGAGCCACTGCATCCAGCTGTTTCTGTGATTTTTATGGGAAAAAAGATTGGGAGAAAAACATTTAAACTAAAGGAAGTAAAAAAGATTAAAAAACGGTCTGGAATTTCTGAAGGATAAACAGAGTGAGAAATGTTTTACAGCAAAACCCCATGGATATTGCTACCACTTTGTTCCCCCAAGGGGAGCAAGAGGTGTTATCACATGGAATACAGACATACATTCTACCTGTCAGCATAGCGCAGTCCAGAACATCCTTTACAAATATGGAGAGTGTGCAGAATTAATAAGCATTTAAGGAAAATGCACAGCTTTAAAGAGAGTCTATGACTGAAATGGGAAGTCTAATCTCTGAGGAATAAGTAATTCTCTGAGGAAAATGTAAACTCTCTGTAACTAGTGCCTTTACAGAGCTCCAAGTGTATTTGCAGGGAGGCTGCCTAGGGCAGTGATTTGAAACCTCAGCTCTGGGGTCAGACTGCCTTGTTTGAAACCTGGCTTTACCACTTAACTATTTCTGTGGGCCTCGGTTTCCCTCAACTTCCTCACCCATAAAATAGGGAAAATAATTTTATTTAATTCATAAGGTTGTCTTTAGAATGAATTGATTAATGAAGAATGCTTAGAGCAATACCAAGCACATAGTAAGCACTTAATAAATATTTTAATTATACTATTTGCTCCTAAAATTGGCCTCTATGAAAAAAGGCCAATTGCAAATCTTGAAAATTTGATTGCTGGAGTAAACTCAATTAGTAGGACTGTTGCAGCTGGAGATCAAATTAGTGAGTTGGATGGTCAAACCAAGGGATTTTCCTTGAACACAAGGTCGAGTGAGAATATTGAAAAGTTTCAGGAATGTTAACATCTAACAAAATTTCCAGATGAAAATATGAGAAAAAGGAAGAGAAAATGTATGTTTTTAATATTATTATGTTATAAACATGGCTAGTGAGAAAGCTGATTTGTGCAGATAATCTAGCTTGTTCTAATTAGCCAATTCACTTCTTGCATCTAGAAGTATTTATGATTTTCTCTTTACCCATGGTTTTACAAAATGAGACTCGGTATGGAGCTTTTTGCATTAGTTCTGCTTGTGCAATATTTTAGTCTTTAACGCTGAAAACATTCCTTACGTAATAGTGTAAAACATACATAATAGTACAATGTAAAACATACATAATAATGTAATGTTCCTCCCCAGAGGTTTCACCCAGGACCATAGAGAGGCAGACAAGTGGTATCACAATCAGATGGGTGGACACGAGAGCAGAGGGAGCTGGGCAAGATGAGGTCAGCTCACTGGAGTGAAAATGCAGAACACAACTGGTACCTTTCAGGAATGCAGAGGCTCAAAAGGTTATAAAAGAAGTTTCTTGAGGAGACTAGTAGAAGGACATAGGTGCACAAGACAGCGATGAGCAGGAAGGCAGTCAACACAGGATCAAGGGCAAGCAGCAGAACAGCTCTGTGAAGCTGGATGTGTCAGAGCCCTCGACCTTCACTCCAGCGAGCTGACTGGGGAAGAACATTTGTCTGTCCCAGATGCTTGCTGTTTGCCCCAAGCTTTTTGTGCTCTGTGGGCTGTTGATTTTTTTTTTTTTGAGTTGGAATCTCACTCTGTCACCCAGACTGGAGTACAGTGGCATGCTCCCGGCTACTGCAGCTTCGACCTGATGGGCTCTGGTGATCCTTCTGCCTCAGCCTTCCAAGTAGTTGGAATTACAGGTGCGTGCTACCATGCCTGGCTAATTTTTGATTTATTGTAGAGATGAGGTCTTGCCAAGTTGCCCAGACGGGTCTCAAACCCGCGGGCTCAGGCAATCCTCTCACCTCAGCCTCCCAAAGTAGGGGATTACAGGCTGAGCCACCGAGCCCTGCCTCTGTGGGCTATTGAACAGACTGAGTTGACTCCCTTTAGCCAGGCGCCTGCCATTGTCGTCCTAGTCCTAGTGGCTGGGGGAGGTGGCTGGTCATCAAAAACAGGGCACGTTAGGGCTGCTGCTTCTTAGCGAGACTGATTTGCCCCAGAGAGAAGGAATGTGGTCACAGTGTACTTACTCTGAGTAAGGCATTTGGTAGCCATTGCAGTTGCTCTTTTATGTGAAATGAAGTCTAAAGTGGCTAGCATTGAAAACAGCAGTGGCATGTAGAGACAGTCATGTAGAAAGGAAAATGTTTTAGAGGATGCTTTTTTACTGACCCGAGAACAGCCCTCTGCTTTCTGCTTTGTATGCCTGACAATAGTATTCTTTCTATCTTTTGAATGTAACTTGGTTCAAATGTCTAGTTAGGGTTGTTACATGGTAAATACTGGGGAAAATGTTTTTTTCAATATTTTAATAGCTAGTCTTGGCTTGAAAAGAGGATTTTGTGATTTTTTCTTTCAAAACCCAAGATTATCAAATCCATTTCAGAATATTTATTGGTATAGGATGATATCAGTTATTTAACCCAAGGTCAGCACCGAGTATATAATGTAGTCAAGACGCTCATCGTGATAATGAATAATTTGTAGTAAAACAAAAACCCGAAGTAGTGTGTTCGATACATATAGATATTGACAGAAAATTGCATGTAATTGACAGAACGTTGTATGTAAATGCCTGTTCAATTGACTCTAGGTTGGGCCATGCAGGCTGCTGCCTACATCTTCATTCATAGGAAGTGGAAGGATGACAAGAGCCATTTTGAAGACATGATCGATTACTTTTGTGATATCCGTGAACCACTTCAACTCCTCATCTTCCCAGAAGGAACTGATCTCACAGGTAAGGTAGCCCGGGTTTAGATCATAGAATTTTAAAACGTCCAGGAACTTGAACATCATTTAGTCTAAACTTCTCATTCCTCTGATTATGTAACTACACACCAGTGAGATTCATGGCTCTGCCGGGTGCCATGGCACGTGCCTTAATACCAGCTCCTTAGGATACTGAGGCAGGAGGATCACTTGAGCCCAGGAGTTCCATTCTATCCCGGGCAATGTAGCGAACCTCCATCTCAAATAGATAAATCAAAGAAAAAAATAAATAAAAAGATCAGTGGCTTTCCCCCAAGATCACTCAGTTAATCAGTAGCACACTAGGATCCAGCCTGTGGGACATAGGTAATCCTGGTCTCCAGCCTGTGGGACATAGGCAATCCCAGAGGTCATTATTGCTCAACTCTCATGCTAGAGCTGTCTATTTTAAGCCTCAGAGTATATTTGAAACTATCAGACATCAGTGTGGTTTTAAAGTCCTATTTCTAGCAGTGTGCGTTCTCCTCCCTGCTGTGTGATCCTCTGACCATTTTCTAAGGTATCAGCTTAATCCATTCTACCCACTGGTACCCTTCCCCTCATCTTCCTTATAAGAAAAGCATCTGACAGTGTCTGATTTTAGTTATTGTTGATTTAAGCTGACGTGACCTTTCTCCTGATACGTAAGCATATCACTGCTCTAGGCAAGAAGCCTTTTCCCTTCTTCAAGAAAGTTCAGCCTCAGTTCATTGAGTCATAAGAGGGGACACAGGAGGACGTGTTTATAGCTCTTCTACCTTCCCAGATGTTAAACTGTGTAGGCCAAGAATGGTTTCAAGGAATTTGTACGAAGGGTAAAAACAAAATCTGGTGCAGTTTGTCCTCCTTACTGTATCCGTGGATTCCACACGGATTTAAGCAGCTGAAGTCTCCTGTCTAGGATGTAAGATTCTGAGACAGGTACAAGCAGACAGCTGTGGCTGATACTGAGAAGGCTGGGGCAGGGGCGCAGGGCACAGACAGGAGGAAGTTGTTTAGACCTTTCCCTCAGAAGAGCAACATTTACCCTAGTACCCTGCTAACTTCAGGAAAGGGACAGCATAATTCAAGGAGACAGTGGCTCCTACAGGCTCTGCCATACAAGGGAGGACAGAGTGAAACAGGGTAGAACTGAGGTCTAAAACTCACAGTTGTGTGGGGACTAGAACTAGAACTTGTCTTTCCAACCTTGATCATAGACTAAGAAGGGCAACCCTTAGCATTTAAGAGGGAGAGCAGAAAAATGAACGTGCCAGCTCACGCTGTGGACACTGTAATTTATGGAACCCATTACCCAAAAAGAGAGTTCAAGATGAAAAATACAAATCACACAGTTGTTGAAGACAGCGAATGGGTGAGTAAGCCAGACTAGATCGATAAGGGAAATTGAGGTATTTTGGCAAACATTTCCTATAGATAGCAACAAAGAGATCTTTTATTCATCTATTGCATATGAAGCAGTGCTAAATGAACACTGGCAATGTTTGCATGCTAGGCAGGTCTCTAAAATGTGTGCTGACTGTAGTATATGCTTGAGTGTTTATGGTTGAACTTCTAAAAGTAGCTGGATCAGAGAAGAGAATATTGAGGATAATACTGGCTGCCTGTTGTTTAAACTTGAAAAACGTATTGTTCTGAGTTGTAAGTGAATTGATTCCCAGAACTAAACTATCATTAAGAAATTGGTCCCATTTAAATTATACAATACTTAGAATGTATAATACTTAAACTTGGATGTTGAAATATCAGCTTCATTTAATAAATATAGAGCATTGAAAGCTCTATATTTATGTTTGTGAATGCCAACATACACTCCAGAATGGCAGTTTTCGAAGTTATTTGGTAAATAAAAGCGAACAGAAAAAAGGTTCCTGTGTTGCTGCTGCTGTTGTTCGTTAGTGTTGATTTGCTCCTAAGTTAGACCTTCAGTGTCTGTAAAATGTAAGTGTGAAAGCTTTTTCATTCTGTGATTTTTCTCAGGTTTCTGTTACATCTAGGTGCGTATTTCTGGAGTCCAAAGTGTTCTTCATTACATGATGTAATAGCATATTTTTTTAAGTTCAAATGATATTTACATTTAAACCCAGACTATTTGCCAAATAGAGAAAACAGACAGATTCTGAATCGTTTAAACTCTTTTTACAGTATTGTACAGATAATTTTATTGAGTTAGAAAAAAATTATTTAAAAAAATAGGCAAACAAAATGTCTTCAATTGGAAACAGATGTCTGTTAATTAAAAGATGTTTTTAGTTACCACAGTTAACTCTAAACTTGGGTTTTCAACCCAAAGAATATGTATAATAACTTTAAGTTCTGAATCCAGTTTGCTTGCATATTTTCAAATAGTCCATTTGCCTGTAACTTTCCATTCTGTCTTTGTCTGTTATTGTTGGTTATAACTCTTTTATGGGAATAGTACATGTTAACTTTCGGAAATTTGGAAACAGCATTATAAATGAACAGTAACTTAAGTTCACCTCTTTTGAATCATTTGGTCACGCGTGCAGAGGCACGTCAGTGTGTGCAGGCACACACGTCTATAGTCTTGACATTAACACTGAGATCCCACTTTTGCTTCCTTTAATGTTCTGTTGTCATCTTTCACATCATGTTTTCTTTGAAAATGTGCTTTAAAGGTGGGGTAGTTTTCTGTTGTGTTGGTGGATTAGTTAGGGCTCTCCAGAGAAACAGACCCAGCAGGCTGTGTTATGTATAGTAAGAGAGCGAGGCTTATTTTAAGGCTTGTTTTAAGGTGCCAGCTTCGTCCCTGCGGTGGCCTGGCGAGTTCAGATCCGCAAGGCAAGCGGCAGACGGAGTCCAGAGAGCATGCTGTCCCGGGGCACAGGTGGTGTGCAGGAAGGACGTTCTTCCTTGTGGGGCCAGGGGATGGGGGGCGGCCTTCAACTGGCGGGCTGCTGAGGCCCACTCATGGTGTGGAGAGAGATCGGCTTTGCTTAGTCTACTGATTTAAATCTTAGTCTCATTAAGCCACGCCTCCCCAGAAACATCTAGAATAATGTTTGACCAAATACTTGGGTGCTTTGTAAACAAAATACTGGATTTTAAAAAACAAATACCTGGGTACTGTGGCCTACTTAAGTTGACACAGAACATTGACCATCACAGTTGGTATACCATAATTTTGAATTTCATTTTACTGATTTGGAAAGGAAAGCTACTTGCAGGTTTTAGCCATTGTAATATTACATGCAAATTAGTACCTGTGTACACAAAACTTCTTTTAAATATCAAGACCTGGAGCTTTATATACAAAACGAAGTCTCTACCTTTGTGAGATCTGCATTCTATGAGGGGAGACAGATAATAAAGCAGTAATTTAATAAAAAGATGTCAGGTCGTCGTAATTGCGGTACAGAAAAGCCAGGTGGGATCGGGAGCTGGAGAGTGACAGGAGGGCTGTGGGTGCCGTTTTACAGGGGGTGGTGGGGGAAACCTCTGTGTTCCGCTTCTGCAACATAGGGACTCAGTGCCCAGAGCAGAAGGCCACAGCTCCGCGGGTGAAAGGCATTCTGGGTGAAGGGAAGGGTGGCAGTGCACAGACCCTAGGGGACATGCCAGCTGCTCTAGAACAGCACGGTGGCCAGTGGTCCCACACTGGGAAGGAAGGTGACGGGAGTCACAGGAGAGCTGATGGGATGGGCCTGTGCTCAGAAGGTGGGAAGCTAGTGGGAAAAGCTACTAATCAGTGTCTGGGTGTGGGCAGATGCAGTGGGGGTGGGACAAGCTGCCCTCGGACCTCTGTGTCTCTGATTGCTGTTACTTTCCCCCATGCGACAGTCCTCTTAGAACTGTTTTTTTTTTTTGAGTTGGAGTCTCACTCTGTCACCCAGACTGGAGTGCAGTGGCAGCTCCCGGCCACTACAGCCTCAACCTGCTGGGCTCCAGTGATCCTTCTGCTTCAGCCTTCCAAGTAGCTGGAACTACAGGTGCACGCTACCACGCCCGGCTACTTTTTTGATTTATTGTAGAGATGAGGTCTCGCCAAGTTGCCCAGGTGGGTCTCAAACCCATGGGCTCAGCAATCCACTCACCTCAGCCTCCCAAAGGCGTGGGATTACAGGCTGAGCCACCGAACCCAGCTTCTTAGAGCTGTTTATACTTGTGTTCGCGTTCTACCACAGCTCAGTTTTGCCTGCGGAATCCACAGTCTCTGGCAGACTGCAGAGCACACTCAGGAGTATTCCTGCTCATCCTCACGCTGTCTCTGTGGTTCCTGATCCTGTTAAGGCCTGCCAGCCGTCTGTGACACACATGATGTTTTGTGGTCCATGTCCAGGATATCTCGATGAAGGTGAAACCGCTGTTGTCTGCAGGCATGGGGTCTTTGCTTTTGACTTGCCAGGAGATCTGTGAGCGTTCGACTCTCTTCCTCCGTCATCACAGAGGCAGCACCTTGTGGTGGAGTATTGGAGTGTTCTGCAGATGTTTGAGTGTTGGGGACTGCACCTTGGACTTTGCAGGGTTGAGGACTCAGTGATTTTACATTGGCTCCTAGTAAAGTTGTTGACATGGGTATTTTTCTTGCAACTTGGAATAATCGTTTATAAATTTCAGAATGTCGCTGAGGATTGCTGGTCCTAACATCTGCTGTCATCAGAAAGAATTTCATAATCTCTTGTAGCAGTTGAGGCCAAATTTCTGAACATTTCACTTTTCCAAATGTATTTGCTGAATAGTGGGTTTGGTTCTTCTTGGAACTTGTAAAGTTACCTCATCGGATGGAAAAAGATGTTTCTGCCAACAGTTGAAACATGTACTTGACGCTGTAACTATATTCAGCCAAACCATGTTCAGATGTTTGTCCGTGATGTACTAACCTTGCCCACGCTGTTGTGCGGCGGTTTTGGTTAGTGAGATTCGTGTGCTCCGTGCCTGCTTAGGGCAGAGATTTCACTTTGCATGGGAGGCTCAAACTGCTGGGTTTTAAAAAAAAATGTTGACCTAATCTATTTGATTGCTACATCCTTCTATTTTGTTAGTGTTACAGGTTTATTTATTAGTGTTTTATATTTTATTATTTTAATTTTGCTATGTAGGAATTATTTTATGAAAATGTTAGTACTTTATATTTACTTCCATTGAATATTGACTTTAATGAAGTCTTTTAAAGACTTTTAAAGATTTGAATATGAATTTTAGGAAATCTATTTCTGCCTTGTTATAAATTTTTTAAAATTCCACTGAGAAGGTCTCAGACCTTTGTAAGGGACCATCTGAAATGTCTTTTGTGTTCTCATTTTACTCCGTGTAATGTAGTCAGTAATCACAAAACAGTTAACTGCCATTTGTATAAAAGACATTCTGTATTTCCTCGCCTGTCTCCCTTTTCTTCGTGGCTTCTCATGGTCTCTTGTTTTGTTTAGAAAACAGCAAACTTCAAAGTAATGCTTATGCTGAAAAGAATGGACTTCAGAAATATGAATATGTCTTACATCCAAGGACTACAGGCTTTACCTTTGTGGTGGACCGTCTAAGAGGAGGTAAGCCCATCTCAAAGTGTGCTTTTTACAAAAGTGGCACAAGTCGCTAAACTTTATATATAGCCCTTTAGAATTTCTAAAGCACTTTTTAATACTTTAGCTCAAGAAATGAGATACTATATTTTTAGGCTATGTTGACTCTATCTACTAAGATGTTTCACTGTAAAAAGACCTCTTTGTGAAAAAAATTCCCCTTTTTGGGAACAGACCGAAAATGATACATATAGTTAGAATATATTCCATTTTTAAATGTTTCTCAAAGCAGCAAAACTGTCTTCAAGGTATCTGATTACTTATACTGACCATAGATTTGGCTGTTAGGATCCGAGAATATGTCATTCTCTCATGGCTTTCTATGATTGCACTTCTTTAGAGCTTAAAAAATAATTTTACACTCACCGTTCCACTCACCCATCAAGTAGCTGGTTGGTAGGAAAGCAGGTGCTGCTGCCTTCACCTGCCAGTTAAATGGACTGGCGTCGATGTGGTCAGTCATTTCCACGGGTTGCAGGAGTCGGGGACAGAGCCAGGCCCTCTGCTGTGGCTTCATACTGCTGCCTTACCCTTCAGGCTGTGTCTTGCTAGGGCATATGTGAGGACAAGGTGAACCTGCTGACATCATCATGCCCATCTGCATGTTTATGTTTTGATGTTTTTGTTATGTAGAAAACCAACTATACTTTTTTTATAGTTCTACATAGTTACATGTTTGTTTATACACATGTCCATACAAATAAACACACACGAAGAAGATGGAACTATCCAGAAACACATGGAAGTGTCGATTTTACAAGAGCAATTTAAAGCCCGAGTCACAAGCAGAAGAACCTTGTTGTACATTTCTGCTCTCCACTCTGTTTTTTGGTAGCCATCTTGTATAATAGGGATACCTGTGACAAATTGTCACCTTCCTATGATAATTGCTGCATTATCATGAAAGTGCTTGTGCCCAACTGGAAGGGTCTTGAACCCTTATTCAAGAAAAGGTGTGAAGTTCTTCTTTTTGTAAATGGCATTCCTGTCGCTCCCCTAGGGTTTCATGTGCTTTAAGATAATAAATGTAATCTGCAGAGATGAAGCTTCTTTGAACCAAGTACCCATGATTTTAAAGACAAGGGCACAAAATCCCTTAAATCCTGTCGCCCCTGTTAGTTCGGCTGCTTTTGGACTTCTGGGGCTACGACAAATACATTGTGAATTTGAATTTGAGAATGTGTGGTCGTGATGCATGAACTAGTGAGTGCCCATCCCACCCCAGAAGCTCCTGGAGGATACCGCTCCACACTGTAGGATGTGGTGGAAAGGCTCCAGGTAGGTGTGCTTTTGCATGTGACACTGTGTACAGGGCGTCTGACTTGGACTCTCCCTCCGCACTCAGCAGTCCTCTGTGTTGTATCTGGGGGCCTCTTTAGAGCATTCCTGATGTCATGGAGCACATTCATCTACGAGGCTTCTGGGGTGACAGACGCGTGCCTCCGGGTCTCAGCTTCTGCTGATCAAGACCTGCGGGAGTGTGGGCAGGAGAGCCGGGAGGTTATTTCATAGTGGGAAAGAATGCGTCTGTAGAGCACTCTCTTGAAATCTGGAAACTACTTCAGTAGCCAGCTGACTTATAGCTTTGGTGACTGTGGGTCACTTAGTCATCACTCAGCACCACTCAGCAGCCAGAGGATGTAATTTTTCCTGTCGGAGCTGGCAACTGACTCCCTGTATATCAGGAAAAAGAAAGAAACACAGATGATTCCTCTTGTTGTAGGTAGAAAATCACATGCGATTCTGTTTACTTCAGTTAGAAACATAGAATAGGACTTGTATGCTACGATAATAATAAAAATAAGTAACAGGACGGGAATGATTAATAGTAACATCAGGTGACATTAGTTGAGCGCTTTCTAAGAATCAGGCATGATGTTAAGTGTCTTCTACACCAATGGTCCATGAATCACTCCTCGAAACAACCCTTCCCAGTAGCCCATCATTACTCATGCTTAACTCATACCACAGACCCAAAGCAGGAGTGGTGGTGCAGGCCCTCCACACGGTGGTCGGGAGGCAATCTAACCGTGCCACACATAGTCTTGCTACCATAACTTGTTGCCTCTTGTATTATTAGTGTGATTTTAGTGAACAAAGTCGCCAGAGTCATAAGGCACCTTTACCACTAGTGAGCTGGATGATTTTCTTCAAGATAGAATTTAAAAGGAAGCAAAAGAGAGGTGGTGTGGCCAGATCACAGAGGATGGCGGGTAGTCGTGCTCCTGAGTTGGTGGGAGAGGCAGAGCGAGGAGGCAGGCCGGGAACTGAGGACAGCGGGACTGGGGTGTCAGTGACTAGAGAGAAGGTATGTCCTTAAGGATGGGAGTGAAACGGTCCTTGGTGGACATTGCTGGAGGACCCTTGAGCCAAGGGGCCTGAGACTGGACAGGATAGCAAAGCCTCTGATGCCGAGGCCTCGAGATCTGCTCTGACAAGAGAGTATGTGCCAAGGAAGCTTCTGTTTGAATAAATGGCCTTGGGGAGTAAGTCTTGCTGTGCAGTCCTGGACTCCTGTGACCCACAAGGACTGTGGGTGACGTGGCTGCTGTCCTGGGACCTCAGCGCTGCTGCTTCTGCCAGGTGCTGGCACACATCAGGACGACTTGTCAGAAGTGCTCAGGAGGGACAAGTAGGACGAGGGGAGTGACTTCTGCGCTGGAGAGTAGATGTCATGAGAGTTAAGAACGCTTGGAAAACACGCTTACCCAAAGTAGAACACTGACCATGTGGCATTGCACAGATGTGTTGTCTCTGGGATAGTAACTGCTGAGAGCTCACACTTAGTACCTGGTTTCCCCAGCCATGCACTTCTCTGTGCTCCTGCTGGATCCTGAGCCTTGGAGGGTAGGAAGTGCTCACAGGTCAAACAGATTCAGTCAGGGCCAGTCGAGTTGAATGTCTTTTCCTTTCATCTAAAAACGAAGCCAGCTCAGTATCCTAGCAAACTCTTCCTAGGGTGTTGTAGATTACCCTGGTTGGTGTTTTTTATAGAGGATTTATTTTCTGTGTACCTCTAATCATGGAGGCTTTTACTGTGTGATTATATAATTTCTTGTAGTATTAGAATAACTGAAATCCAAAAGGAAGTTCCTAATTTAGAGGAAAGAGGCTTTCGCCTGAGCAGTCTCTTGGTTTTTTAGTTACACAGCTATAACGAATGTATCACACTGTTTAAAAACCTTTCAGTCAGTGCATCACAGATTTTTTGTATCCATTGTCATCTCCAGTGCTCCATCATTTTTAACAATAATAGCTTAACTCTTGTTTCAAACAGATAATGATTTGGTCCACTCATTATTTGATTTTGTTCTATATTTTGTAAGCCATTTACTGAGTTGCAACCATGCAATAATTATTTTAACCATGAGATAGCATGTGTGTGTACATTTGAAATACCTTGAAATTAGGTCAGAGTCGGAAATGAGGATAAAACACTGGGTATTTGCTCTACGGCATGACCTATGTAAGATATGACCTTGTCTTCAAAGAGTTTATAGTCTTCGTGAAGGGCAGGAATGATTCCCATGAAGGATCAGACAGTGCAGTTCAGTGCTGAATTTATGGTGTGTAGTGTGTAGACACTTTGCTGAATAATTACAGAGTGTTCCCTAAAGAGAGCTCACGTGAAGCTTCTTGAAGAAGCCTGAATTTCCTTGCATGTTAGAGATTGTATGTGATTTGGATGAGGCTGACTGATGGGGAATGGGGGCAGGGCCTGTGTGAGGGCCACGTGGGCCTGGGCATTGGTGGACGGATCATTGATGGAGCTGAGACTGGGTTTGTGAAGCCCAGGCGGTGCTGAAGAGAAGGCAGTGTAGAGTCATGCTTAGTACAGGCTGAACTCAGCCCCCAGGTAGTCACATTTTAGTTTGTTTATTTCTAGATTTAGCCACTCAAGCAAACCAGCTCATGTATTAAAATGTATCTATATGATGATTTAGAGTATTGTTAGGTTTTAAATCAAATGTTTTTGAATTCAAAGTAAAACATTTCATATTTCCATCTATATTTGACTATTGGCTTGAATTCTCAATAGGAAGGAGTGAAGCATGTCATCTTCCCACTGTTCCGAGGGATACAGAATTACCCACTAAAGAAAAATGAAATTTCCACGAGGTCATTTGGGTCCGCATGCCCAAACGGCACTCTACCGCCTGTGTCTAGGGAGAGAAAGTTGCTGATTGACTCTGGATCACATACATAGACCTGGCCATCCTGTTTTGGCTCCTTTTGGGCCATGGCAGCTCTTGCTTGCCCTGGGAAAGTTGTGGCTCCCAGCACAAGTCTCACCCAGTCACCTTCAGCAGCCCCAAGAGAACACCTTATATGTCCGTTCCCCTGAGAGCATAACCACCTGTGGGCAGTGGGGTCTGTTTACTGCCTGTGGTGGGAGCTAAGGGTGGCCGTTGAGTTGCACTTGTGGGGCTCACACCGCATTCACCATGGAGGGGTGCACTCCAGCGGCTCCTCCCAACAGCCAGCATGTGGAAGGAGTGAGGAAGGAAGGCAGGCAAGCCCTTGGAATGCTGGGTACATCACATGCCATGCACACCGACCTCTGCATGTGGTTTTTTATTGCTGGAAACTGAAATGGATAAGACCTTTCCCTTACATTGACAACGATGTCATTGTACAGTAGTCCTTTGACGTTTGCTGGAATATCTTCTCAGACCTTTTCCGTTTCCCCAGATGTGCTCATATCTTGGTAGCTTAGTGGTTGACTTTCTTTTCAGGTTTGAGAACAAATCTGTTGTCTGTTTATGGTGACAAAGTACAGCAAAACCTAAATAAGATTCGGATACTGACCAGTAAGGAAATACACAGACCCCCCAAGTGACCTGGTGACTTACAAATTGCAGAACGGAAATTGTTCAGATCTGCCATAGCAGACTGGTACACAGCCATGTGCCAAGGGCTTTTGGGGCTGCTTCCTGTCGAATCCCAAGTGCCCTGTGCAGCCTTGG